GTGGTATTAGTTGCAATGTCTACTCCTTCATTTCTAATTTTATTTATTTATGTGCTCTCTTTTTTTCTTGGTTAGCCTAGCTAATGCTTTTTCTATTTACTTTACCTTTTCCAAAAACTAGCTCTTAGATTCACTGATCACTTCTATTGTCTTTTTCCTCTGTATTTCAGTTATTTCTGCTCTTATTTTTATTTCCTTCCTTCTACTAACTTTAGACTTAGTTCTTCTTTTTCTAGTTCCTTGAGGTGTAAAGTTAATTTGGTTTTTGAAATCGTTCTCTTTCTTAATGTAGGCATTTATCACTATAAACTTCCCTCTTAGAACTGCTTTTGCTGCATCTCATTGATTTTAGTATGTTGTATTTCCATTTTCATTTCTCTCAAGAAATAGCAAATTTCTCAGGACTGTTTATTTGATATTCTTTCATAATTCTATTGTGATAGTATGTACTTTGGTCAGGAGACTTTCAATTCTTGATGATGTTCCACCAGTAAAACTGGTTTAGCTACAACTTTGAGGAATAGTTTTGTTGTTGTTTTATTTTGGATTTTGTTTTTGTTTTTAACAGAAAAATGCCAGTGTAGCTCATGTTATATTGTCCTGTTACTTGTTACGATGGATCAGTGTTAACACACTGCTAAGAATGTATGTTGTATAAATGCTAAACCTGATGATAAGTTGCCATGCTCACCTAGAAAAGCTTAAATTTTCCAAGGATGAAATAAATAAATATCATAAATTCAGCTTCAGAGTACAAATAATCATTTTTGGCATCTGAAACATCTGGGAAGAACTTACCTCTATTTAAGGAAATACGAAAATCTTCTCAGACCAGAAATCTCACATCCCAAGAAAATAATTTGACACTGTCTTTCTATGCTACCCTTCGTAAACAAATATTATGAATGAGTAATTAAAAATTACTCATATTAATTCACTCCTTACAAGAATATGCTTTTGCTCTTTCAAAATGAATAAAATATAAGAATAATAAAAATAAATAAATGTGTGAACCTACTGCCCAGGATCACCAATCAGCAGAGATCTGTACAGATTTTGCAGAGCCTAAATGTTATACAATTTGGAAGCCTGCTGTTTTAAAACCTATACAAACTTAGTAATACAAACTTATGTGCAAAGTGAATATTTCCTTAGGATGACCAAAATAATCACAATGAATTTCAAATTTTGAAGTGCTGAATAATATCCCAAGCAAAACAAAATATAGAAACATGACAAAAATATTTTTATCTTCTGATATACCTTTATAATTTTGTTGTCCTACAATTGGTTGCATCTTCATTGCCTTTTCATATAAAAGCAATTTGGTAATATTTTCTATAGAGAATAGAAAGATGATTCATTATTCCCCTGGCATGCTTAAACAATATCACAAAACTTTTAATAGTTTTGAAAAAATTTCAGATTAAAGTTTGTTATTGATAACGTCATATAAAATTTTATAACTTTTGTCAAATTTTCTCTTCTGTGAAATATATGTTTATAACATTGAGCTACAGCATTAAGCTACAGTAATCTTTTCTTATTGTCTTTAAATTTCAATATGCATGGTTTAATTTATAGTTTGAATATTAATCCATTTGATCATATGTTCATCATATGTTTCACAAACATCTTCTACTCCTTTGTGGTTTTTTATTTCAAGTACCATTTGTATAATTAGGTTCATGCACTTCATTGTTTAAATATTTTTGATATAGTGAAAAGAAAAATTACTTAATGTATATTTTTATAATCTACGTCTTGCTTAAAACTATTTCTGTATCTTAAGGTTATAATTATGTTCTATATTTTCACCATAATATTAAAGATTCCATTCCTATGATCATAATAATCTCTTATATTTTCTTCAGAATACAAAAGACTTGATTTTCGTATTTAATTCTTTAATCTATCTGAGCCTGATTTTTTAAATGGCATGAACTAAAGTCCACATTTTTTCATGAACATTCAAATGTCTCAGAATAACTTATTAATTATTCAATTCTTTACCCAGTGATTTACAATATTATTTCTGTGATATATCATGGATCCATGTAAAAGTATCATTTTCTTTTCTCTCTATTGGGATCTATTCCTTATTTTGACTACCACTGAAAGTATCAAAATCTCTCAATATTATAACATAATAATCTTTGATATCTGAAGTGATGCTCCTATCTTTCAAAATCATCTTGAATACTCTTAATTGATTAGTATAAAAAAGGTTTTTATTTTGCTTTTTTATGAACATAAGGCAGAGAAAATCAGACAATGCTTTATTTTTTTATTGCAATTTTTTAACCACACAGGTGCTGTAAATTGAATCCCATATCCAAATGTTCTTTTACCTGTGTTTCAAACATTCAGGGAAGACAACTACAGGTATATTCTTTTCTACCTAATGTTAGGATGGAGTCAGACATTTTTGGTTTTGGACGACTATTTCCATAAGTAGGTTTTCTTTTTTTAGCTCGCTCTATACCTGAACATGAAATTCATGTCAACATCTTAGCTTTAATTGGGTATTTCAAGTTCTACCTTCTCCAAAGTTGCTTGAGCAAACATTCCCCTCTGATGCCATCAATTTTCTTTGTTTTTATAGTTTCTATGTCTCTGCTGACGTTCTCTAAATACTTTTTCATAACATTTAAATTTTGTTTTCATCATTGAGCATAATTATAATAGCTTAACATCCTCATCTACTGCTTCCCAACCACTAGGTCATCTCAGAATTACTATCCACTAACTTTCTTTTGGTCTTGAGAATGTTTCATATTTTCCTGTTTCTTCATATGTCTAATAAATTGGATTGCATTCAAGATAGTAGGATGTTTATATGCAGACAATCTGGATTATGTTATAGTCTTCCAAAGAGTGTTTGATTTTTATTAAATTGTTTGCTTTGTTTTATAACACAGTTAACTTGGTTGTCTCAAACTGTAATCTCTATATTTTGAGCGATAGGTCAACCCTAGGTTCAAAGCTTTTATGCTTAGGTGTGCTACTTGGAGTTTGTCTCATGCATACAAAATTTAGTGATCAGTCAGAGATTTGGGCAGAGATTATCCTCAGAATATGGGGATCCCCTTCTGTGACTTTTTCCCTTCCTGACCCCCCACAATTTCCAGTAGCTCTGGATGCCCCCAATTGGAGTGTGGTCCTTTAGATCACAAAACCAGTGATCTCGCAAGAAATCTAGCCAGTCTTAAATTGCTCACCATGGCTAGCAGCCATGAATATTTATCCCAAGCCATTTCCTTTTTCTAAATATCTGCTTTTGATTTCTCTCCAATATCTGCGAGTATTTGGGTTTTGTTACTTTGATTTATCAGTCCAGAATTTGTAGTTTTATCTGCAGGAGGATCTGTGCAATAGGAACTTACATAGCCATACCAGAAGCAAAACTCTAAGGCCATCAAACCTAATGCTAGTATTAGTATTTGATCCTAATACAGCCCTGACTTTGGTTTCCTGGTTTCTTTTGTTGTTTTCGTTACTGTTATTTTTGTTTCTTTGTTTGTTTTCTGGTCTTGTTGGTTTTCTAGTTTTTGCAAACTCATCAACAACATAAAATAAATAACTTTATAATACTTCTTGTATCTAGGCAAATTTCATCAGTAGACTTTACAAATGCCTCATTTATTATTGTACTGGACAAGAGAAGGCATTGTTTATTATCCTCATTAATGTGGATATGACATTTACTTTTAAGATTTATCTAATCTACTTATTTCCCCTATTTCTTACCAGTTTATTTTTAATGCAAGCATTCTATAGCAGAAAACAATTTCAATATGAGTACAGGAAATAAAGGGTTAGTTTTTACTGTGCTTTATTATAAACGAATTTAGTCATTTGAGGAAGAAGAATTAAATTTTCAATTCCTTGGTTGAGAAAAATTAGTTACATTTTCCAGTTACAAATCTGCTTAGGGATGAAGGAAAAATATTATATAATAAAAATCCAAAATGTTTGGATGAATTTCAGAAAATATCAAACTTGATATTTTCCTTAATACAAGGTAATAAATATGCACTTTTAAGTTGGGTGCAATAGAAAAAAATCTTTTTCTCTAAATTGGCTTAGATGTTATCTGAAAAAAGCACAGATCACTGATGCATCTGATTTTTTGCTTATCTCCATGAAGATTCATGTGTCTTTACAGGGAAATGTTTGCAGGCAATATAAAATTCTTAAAATAGGACCCACAAGTACAGCCAAAGTTATCTGATGAAAGCACAGCTCAATGATAGAGCTGAACATTGTTCTGACATCCCTGGGGAATAAATGGAATTTACATAAAAATATTTGAGGGCACCTTAAAAATAAAATAAATAAAAATAAAATAAATAAATAAAAATAAAAATAAAAAGAGCCACTGTCAGACTCACAACTTGAACTCTGAATTGAGTCCCCAAGTTCTTTGTTTTTAAACTTTATTCAGAGGCAGTGTTTATTGTGAAGAGCAGAAAATCATTTAGGTTGAAAATATAAAAAGAAGCATATGACTCATTTGAATTCACTTCATAATGGAGCGCAAATAGAAGAGCGAGTAGAGTAACAGAAAAGCTTTCGAGGAATAAACAAAATGTGTGGGCTCTGGACTAGCAATTATCTTTTCCAATTTTTTACTTTGAAATATTACTTAACCTGTCTAAACTGTCATTTTCATTTTAAAAATTAGGACTAACAATGTCTATTGTGCCAAATACAGAGTATTTATTGAGACTCTAATGAAGAAATGCATGTAAAATTAGTAAAAGGTAGAAAGAATCAAATTAATAGATACAAATTTGAAATATGTTTGAGACCAGATCTGAAGTTAAAATTACGTTTCTTTGTAGTTTTCAGATACTTAATGCAATGTTAGGTACTTTAAAGTTTATTATTCACTAAACGAGCAAATAAAACAAAGTTTGTGTCACACTTAAGAACTAAGTTTTTCATTTGAAATGAATTCTTTAAACAATTATATATATATTTACTTTTAACTTTTTTTTTCTATGGAACACTTCATGAATTTGCTTGTCATCCTTGTGCAGGGGCCATGCTGATCTTCTCTGTGTCATTCCAATTTTAGCATGTCTGCTGCGGAAGCAAGCACTTTAATTTATTTTTTAACAAATAGTTTACTGTGCTACCAGAAGCAAGCTCTGCACTAAATTTGGTGAAAATAGAAATGAACAACTTAATGCCTCAATGAGCTCACAGATTAGTGGAAATAAAGAAACACATATGACTTAATCAGACCCATCATATTAAGTGTCAAATGTGCACACCATAAATGCTATGGAAAAACAGATGACAGAAGTAATAATTCTTTTGGAGAATATTGTAAAATGATTAACAGAAAAGATAATACAGTCATGCATTGCTTGACAACAGGATGCATTCTGAGAAATGCATTGTTTGGCACTTTCGTCATTGTGCAAACATCGTAGAGAGTACTTGCACAAACCTGGATTGTATAGCCTGCTACACACATAGGCTGTATGATACTAATCTTATGGGACCACCATTGTACATGTGGTTCATTGTTGATTGAAACGTTGTTAGTGGTGTGTGAAATGTGTATTTGAACTGGTATTTAAATGAACTGCAAGGGGAGGAAAGGTGACAGCAGCCAACATTTCAAAATAACAGCAGTTGCACGACACTTACTCTATACCAGACAGCATTTTAAGTGATTTGTATTTGTGGAGGGTTTCATTCTCACGACATATGAGGTCAGGTTTAATCTTACCTATAAAGTTAGTCTTATTCTTACCTTTTTAAGACAAGAGGAAACTAAGCCTTGGAGAGGTAGGTGGCTTCCCCAACAGCACACACCAAATTAGTAGCAGAGCTGGGATTCAAGCTCAAGCAGTCTCTCGCTGCCATCCAAGTACTTAATCTCTATCTTACACTGCCACATTTGAGCACGTCAACAATTTTCACAAGTTGAAAAATGGGAATAAGCATTCCACTCAGAGGAAATGGCATGAGCAAAGGCATCAGCCAACTAGAGCACAGGGAAGGACATATATTCTACTGACTAGTGAATTAAGCAGAAGGTGGAAGAGCAGTCATAAAATACACTCCTACCATGTACGCAGAAAGGATGAGCTAATTAAACCAAGATGACCCCTTAATCTTTCTGTAGTCAGTTGGATGATATTCATCTCCACCTCATTCATTCCTTTTGAGAAATATTTTATCATCATCAATGTTGAGCAGGCCTTCAATAGATACATAATTTCTATATGAATAGAAATAATCGTATCTGGAAAAGTGTTTACTTTGCTTTCCCCAATTGTGAGAATGGAGGGATTTGGAATTGATACTATCATGATACAATCAGGATGATCATTGTGGGCCTTCTATTAATAGAAGGAAAGAAAATATCTAGGCACAAAGTGAAAACAGCATAATTTTCATAAGTGAAAGAAAATTATAATAACGTATTACATATACACATATATTTTATATGAAATTACCCTATTTAAAACTAATATTGTGCCACCTTAGTTCTTACATAGTAATAAGACATCAAAAATTATAAGGGCCCAGCCCTGTTGCCAAGTGGTTAGAGTTCCACGTGCTCTGCTTCAGCAGCCCAGGTGCACGGGTTCAGATCCCAGGCGTGGACCTACTCCACTCACCAACCACACTGTGGAGGTGTCTCACATTCAAAAAAATAAAGGAAGATTGGCACAGATTTTAGCTCAGGGTGAATCTTCCTCAAGTTAAAAAAAAAAAAGGAGGATTGGCAATGGATGTTAGCTCAGGGCGAATCTTCTTCAGTAAAAAACAATATATATATATATATATAAAAATGACATCCATAGTAACCAATATACTTTCCCACTCTAGAGTTTCATAAAAACACATCAAGAAGACAAGATTATAGGAACTCGGTAGTTTCCATGGTTTCAGAGTAAAGCTAATGATTTCAGGATCAAGTTAATAGGTAGAAAATTTCACAGATTCTCGAAAACTACAATGACAATGAGATATTGATTAAACATATCCATCTGGCTGGAAACTGATTTGAGAATTCAAGATAATAAAATATTGGTGTTCCAGTAAATCTTCAAAGATTATCTCCATTCTCTAAATGCATCTTCTAGGGATCGTAATAATGTTTTAAAAAATAAAATATGGTCATTCCTCAGTACCTGTGGGTGATTGGTTCCAAGACCCCCTGTGGATAACAAAATCTGCTGATGCTCAAGTCTCTTAGTTGAGGCTCCATATCCGTGGGTTCCACATCTGCAGACCAACCTCAGATTGTAAACATAGTGCAGTCATGCATCACTTAACGACAGGATACGTTCTGAGAAATGCGACGTCATTAGGCAATTTTGCTGCTGTGCAAACATCATAGAGTGTACTAAAGGGGAACTGAATTTGCCACCCCAAAATGTGTCTCTTTAACACGAGGATTATTTTAGGCTGATTCTTCTTAAGGAACAAAAGATTTATAAAGTTTTTCTTATTACCTCCCCCTTAGCTATGTAAAAGAATTCAGATAAAAAAATCTGTCTCAGGAAGTGAGCTATCATCTTAGCATAACATGAACTAGGTGGTAGAAAGGGAGGAAACTAAAAAGGCCTGTTTGTTCTGTGTTCAGAACCCCCTCTGTGTTCTTCTGTTTCTGTGTGGCCAAACAAACATTTGGTTTCTAAAGTTTGCTCTTTTTCACCTCTCTGTGAATCGTCTTCATTCCCTCTGAAGTCCTTTACTCTCCCCACCCTCAACATCTCCTTTTCTCCTGAGCTGAGGATGATATTTAAAGTGAGGGCTTTGGCCAATTTGCAAATTACTCAGTTTTCTTGGATTTCTCCCATGTATGCATGTTATTAAACTTTTGTTTGTTTTTCTCCTGTTAATCTGTCTCATGTCAATTTAATCCTTAGACCAGCGCAGAGACCCTAAAGGGGTAGAGGAAAACTCCTTCCTCCCCACAGTACTTACACAAACCTGGATGGTAGCCTACTATGCACCCAGGCTGTGAGGTACTAACCTTACGGGACCATCATCATATATGCAGTCTGTCATTGACTGAAACATCATTATGAGGAGCATAACTGCACACGATCTGCAGTTGGTTGAATCCACAGATTCAGAACCCGAGGACACCAAGGGCTGACTGTGTGTATTGCCTAATCTTTGGAATGCTTCAGGGAGTAGCTTGAATCTGGTAAATACTCAAACATCCGCAAAGATGGCAAACTCATGCTGTCTTTCATTGTTTCCTTGAGGAAATTTCAAAGTATTCATAATTCATTTGATTTCATACAAAATGTTATATTAATGTATTTATCCTACCCTTTTTTAGAATATTAACGTGAAAATTTCTGTGGAGAAATAAAAAACATGAGGTTGTTTGTATCTTCAAGTATCTCTCAGTTTAATGAAACTGATGGACACATATTTACAATGTAAAATAAGTGCTACTACAAAAGCAAAAGGCTAGTTACATATACTCAGAATTCAAGTTATTAATCCTAACAACATAAATAGGCTAAGATAAATCTTCAGAGAAATTGCTTTGGATGTATAGCCATGGATTAGTAACTAGAAACTTCCTACACATATTTTCTGTAAATACTGTTTAGTTATGTACCTTAAAGAATTTAATAAGAATGATAAATACCACCTTACATTTATTTACTACTTTTGGCTATTGAATTTAAAACACATGGCCTCTTTGGATACTCACAATAGCTGTGTGAGGCAGCTATGAATTGTTAGTGCAATTAAACAACAGGAGAAATTGTGGCTCAGAGAGGATGATACATTAAAAAAGCTAAGCAGTTGAAATGAAAGCTTAGAGTCTGATTCTTAATCTAATCCTTTTTTCTCCACACATTGTATCTTCTTCCAGGTACAGATTGGTGAATCAAATATCTGTGGAAAATGAAAGAGGTCTATTGTTTTCACGTATCTCTCTCAAATATGAAGCATCCCGCAAAAACTAGAAAAAAATACTATGGAAGTTTAGCAGTTATCCTAAATAGCCATGACTCCTGACTCAAGGACATTTGTTGCACGAAGGCTTAAGTCACTGCTCATGGTAAAGTCCTTCAGGTTAAAGTAGAAGGAAAAATATAAAGCCTCATTAATATTGGAGAGATTACACCATATAGTCTCTAATGATGCTCGGCGAAGCCCCCACGATGTCCTCAGTGAACAGGAGGAAGAACTGTTTAGTTCAAGGACAAGAGCATGTGCCTATAACACCTCCTAGTTATGTGTGTTCTTATCCATATTAGAAATACTTGCACTTGTTCCAAGCCATGGAGAATGCAACTCAACACCTGTCACCTTCTCTATCTTTTTTTCTCCTTAGTACTTATCTTCCAACATACTGTATATTTTATAGTTTATTCTGTTTATTACATACTATGCGTATCCGAATGTAAGCTCTCTAAGGGCCAGTTTTTTGGTCTGTTTTTCCCTCGTTGAATTCCCTGTGACTAGAACAGTGCTTAATGCATAGTCAGTATTTCTAAATATCTACTTATGATTAGTATTATATTATTTATAATTATTATTTTATGGTTAATATTATAAATATTTATTCTTAAATATTTATTAAATAAATGAATGAATCATTCATTAACTTTTAAAAGCCTCACCAAATACCATGGATACTATTTTTGTTTAATAATTTATTAATTTATCAAAAATATGTTTTGATTGCCTATCAATCAGTGTGCAGAGTACCGTGCTGCAATACTGTGCATGGTGAGAGATGACCATCTTCAGGGAGCTTGTAGTCTTATAGGGAAAAACTATGTTAAACCAATGGTTATATTTTGAACTGTAAATGTCCATATAACAGGATAGTACATTTTATTTCCCCTGGGGGTATCGAGAAGACCTCACAGAGGAAGTAAACCTTATTTTCAAAGATTATTAGTGTTAAAATGATTATTCATGTTAATGTTGAAGGTTGAAGTTGTAGTTCAGGCATAGGAAACAGTATGTGTGAATTTTTTGAAGCAGAAATAAACTAGGTGTGATCAAGAATGAAATTAGTTTAGTGTGACTCTATCCTAGTGACACGGGAACAAATGGGGGCAAATATGGCTTGACCTGGGAACCTATCACGG